CATCATGTAGCATTACAGCCTTATGTAGCTTCCTAAGGCCATAGCTAGGTGTCAGTGTCATGTTCCCCCCCCTTCCCCAGGAGTACATCCAGAAGCTGATGCCCCCTTTAATCCAGAAATGGAATGAGCTGAAAGATGAAGACAAGGACCTGTTTCCCCTGCTGGAGGTGAGCCTCCGGTGGCTTGTCCCTGGGCAGTGACTGTGCCTCAGGCTGTACTGTCCTTCACTGCTGTCTGTCTCTCCCTAGTGTCTGTCCTCGGTGGCTACAGCCTTGCAGAGTGGCTTCCTACCCTACTGCGAGCCGGTGTACCAGCGCTGCGTCACCCTGGTGCAGAAGACTCTCGCCCAGGCCATGGTGTGGGACGGTCTTAGTCGCTCACTCTCTGCTACAGCCCTTTTTGTGAGGTCCTGACATGAAGTGCATGCGTGTGTCATCACAGATGTATGTCCAGCACCCAGACCAGTATGAGGCCCCCGACAAAGACTTCATGATCGTAGCTCTGGACCTGCTGAGTGGGCTGGCTGAGGGCCTGGGGGGGCACGTGGAACAGCTGGTGGCCCGGAGCAACATCATGACACTGCTCTTCCAGTGCATGCAGGTGGGACTGGCAGGGGGTGCAAGGTGTAGGCAGAGCTCTCTCATCTATCAGGGTCATCACAGTCGCCCCTGTCTTTACAGGGATGCCGATTTATTGCCGATGGTGTGAAATGTTATTCTGTTATCAGATGGATGCCTCTTTATTGCAGACGGTCACAGGTTTTCCGGAATATTCTGTCTTCACGGTGTGCCTCTTTGTTGCATATTGTGTCAGGTATCAGGAGTATTGTGTCATCACAGTGACGCCTCTTTCCTGTAGATGGTGTTAGATGTTCTTGAATATTCTGCCGTGATGGCAAGGCCCGTTCTATTGCAGATAGTCTCAGGACATTTGCATCATTCAGTCGCCACGTGCTGCCTTTGTACTGGGGCAGCATTCCATTCGCATCTTTGTAGATGTTGGGGAGACACCGTGTGGTTTGTGGTGGGTTCAGTACCAGGACCCTAAATGCACCCCCCCTGCTCCCAGGACACCATGCCGGAGGTGAGACAGAGCTCCTTTGCGCTGCTTGGTGACCTAACCAAGGCCTGCTTCCCTCACGTCAAGCCCTGCATTGGTGAGTCTCTCACGGGGCCCCACCCCCACCCCGCCCCCCTCGCTTTAAGCCTCCATCCTCCTTGCTCTCTGTCCCTCTAGCGGAGTTCATGCCAATTCTTGGAACCAACCTGAACCCAGAGTTCATCTCCGTGTGCAATAACGCCACCTGGGCCATTGGTGAGATCTGCATGCAGATGGGTGAGTATTTCTGCCAGTGTCCCCATGGTGCATAGACCACTGTGACCTCAGTGTCCCTTCATCTCTTCATGGTCCCTCTGTTGAAGGTGCTGAGATGCAACCCTACGTGGGCCTGGTCCTCAACAACCTGGTAGAGATCATCAATAGGCCCAACACGCCCAAGACTCTCTTGGAGAACACAGGTATGGCTCCTCAGCCGGGCGTCTCGCATCGGGGCCCAAATTTCTTGCTCCTACCTGTGGGATCTTTATTGCGACGTGGAAACCAGTTTCAGTTCAGTGCCTCATAGGCCGCTTTTCCACCGCACAAAGTACGCTACTTTTGCTACGGTACTTTCGGTACTTTCGCTTTTCCATTGACTTCCGGTCGAGTACCAGTACCGAAAGTGCCAAACCAGCTGGGGTACTTCGGTACTTTGGGGTGGGACTTACAAACGTATTTGCTGTCGATTGGTTATGCAAATAGCCTGCCGCTGAAACACAAAATACACACAGCGAATAGCGAGAAACTAAATAAAAAGCAGTAGAAACAAAAATATGAAAAAACTCAAACGGAAGGATGGACAAACGAGGAAACACAGGCTTTAATCGCCATATGGTCGGATGAACAGATCCAGCGGGACTTGGATGACACGACTCGGAATAAAAAAGTATTTGCCGTAATAGCAAGCCGCTTGGAAGAAATGGGACACACGCAAAACACCGAACAATGCCGCTTGAAGATCAAAAAACTTAAGCAGGACTACAGGAAAGTGAAGGATCATAATAACATGTTTGAATTCAGCGAAAGAAATACCGCGTCGCGCTTTGTGATGATGTCAGTCAGGGGCATTCACTGATGATATCATTTGGCGCCGGTACCAGATTTTACGCCAGTGGAAAACCGACACAAGTACCATACTTTTGGTACTTTATGGAAGTACCGAAAGTACGGTACCTGGTGCGGTGGAAAAGCACCCATAGAACCCTACTCACTCTACAGACTGGCCACTCTTATGATGACATCCATTGACATTCGAAATTTGACCCAAGCTTTCAGGATATCTGAGGCTTTGAATGTGTCCTGGGGGCGACTCTGTGTGGCAGGAACTAGCTCTGACATTTTTGTCCCTCTTCCCTGTGGCTTCGCTGCAGCCATCACTATTGGTCGGTTGGGGTACGTGTGTCCACAGGAGGTGGCACCCATGTTGCAGCAGTTCATCCGACCTTGGTGAGCATCTCTCTGGCCCTGTTGTCTTTGTGCCTTAAGGATTGCATTTGAACTTTGACCCTAAGCCATTCTCTCATATTTGCGGTTGGCCTCCACACAAGTGTGCGAGATGGCTTGTGGGGTCTGCATGTGTCAGCCGGTGTAAAAACCTCTACATCTCCCCCCCCCCCCCCCCCCAAGGTGCACGTCCTTACGGAACATCCGGGACAACGAGGAGAAAGACTCAGCCTTCCGGGGGATCTGTGTGATGATTGGCGTGAATCCCGGGGGCGTCATCCAGGTGCCGACCCGTCTGTCCCTCTCTGTCGGCACCAGGGGGGCTCACTGCCACCCCCTCCCCAATGTCTGTTCCTGTCTCTTCTTTCATGCAGGACTTCATCTTCTTCTGTGATGCTGTGGCATCCTGGGTGAGCCCCAAGGAGGACCTGAGAGACATGTTCTGTAAGGTAACCCCATGCAGGTGCCCCGCCTCCATCCCACTCGCTACCCACCCCATGCCAGTGATGACCTACATTCAGACATTCGAATCCGAATCCATCATGAGGACTCCTGTGCTCTGACGGTGTGGGAGGGGTGCGTGAGCTGAGCGGGTGTCCAAACGGCTGTTTGCCTCTCCGAAGCCAGTAGGGCGCCCCCTCCAGGCCTGGGCCTGTTCCTGGGTGATGTGGAAGCGCAGTGCGGGGTTGATTGTTACCAAGACGTATGTCTGGTCTGGGTGAAGCTGGAGATGCAGCCGGACCGGATTGGGGGGGGCACCCTGTTGGCAGGCTCTGTTGTGTGGGTACAAAAACACACCTGACGCTAGTCTGCCCCCCTCCCCCCCCGCCTTGCAGATCCTCCACGGTTTCAAGGACCAAGTGGGCGAGGACAACTGGCACCAGTTCTCGGAGCAGTTCCCCCCCCTGCTGAAGGAGCGGCTGTCCGCCTGCTACGGCGTGTAGCCCCCCAGGGCACGTCAGGTACCTGCGTTAAACGGCACGCTGGGCCATGGGGAGGGGCTCAGTCCAGGCAGGGCGCGCTGTCATTGGACGTCTGCAGGGAAGGGTTAGGGGTGGAGCTACCTGCATGGTGGTCACGTGGGAAGCTGGCCAATCAGCATCCTTCAGAAGGGGGGAATCACGTGACTTTGGGCCTGAGGCTGCACACAGATCGCTTTGTGTAAGCAGTTAAGCTCCATTCACAAGAGGGAGCCAAGTTTCACAGGAAAACACGACCCATCAAATGATGAGCTGCCCTGGCTCCTTGTTTCATGTTGTTTTAACATGAAGCACTTTGTAATTGCTTGGCGCTGCCCCAACAGAATCGACATGCTAGCAGTGTGGCTGTGCAGTTACCGTACTCCCAGTGAGCAGAGCAGACTCCTCATTTAGGCACCGATACGAGGCGTATCACCACAGCCACTGTCAGTATGATATCCCATGTTTGTTTACTGCATTGTAAAATGTTTAAGCGATCAGAGGAACATCAGCTATTACATTCATTGATTTTGCAGCAACGGCAGTCATTTTAAGAAAGCAGTGTCAGTCAGTCCCTCGAGCAGTTGGGGGTTAAGGGCCCCGCTCAGGGGCCCCACGGTGACATCACCCTGCCTGCGCTGGCATTTGAACCAGCAACATTCTGATCACAAGCACAGTTCTAACTGACAGAGCAGCGGCCATTACTGAGAATTGCAGTCACGTGTGATGCATGTTCATAGTTTTATCTGCTGGAAGTGGTGCTCGGCAAATCTGAGGGGCTGGGGCCTCTGATCTGTCCCCTCTGCCCCCTCCTCCTGCAGGTGTCCTGAAGGGGGGATTGCTGGGAAGTCGTCCGTCTCCATGTATTGCACTGCCCCGGTCGTGGGGGAGCGGGACCCCTGCAGCCGGCTCCACCAGACGGACCCCACCCCCATGTGTCTGTGATGAAGGGGGGGAGGGAGGGTGGGGGGATGGGGGGGATGGCCTCTGGATCAAACCTGAAGTAAAAAACACAGCGATACGTATTTATCGGGCACGGTTAATGTGAGTGAAGGGTGACGATGGAGGTGCGCTTGTTCACCGCCCCAGCGCTCAGCTGCACCTCCTCCCTCCTGTCGGCTTTCGTTTGCTATCGCGGGGTAGATGTGGAGGGCAGGGATGTGGAGCCCCCCCCCCCGCCTTTGTCACTGTGCACCTGCAATGGGTGGGATCTCTAAAAATACTGATTTCACCACGTACCCCACAAAAAGGGAGGTCGGTGGCTGACCTTGGGGGAGGGAGGGG